GAGATATTTTTGGTTATTTGATTCGTTGTGTGAGAATAGAAAATGAATTAGGAAATTTTGTGAACAATCGTTGGTCGTCTATCGATCGTGTTTTTTTAACATTAAAGTATAAAAAAGAAACTAGTTTTTCTTATAGATATATACGTAGATTCCTTTTCCGGTTAATAAGTTTGAAAACGAAAATATAAAACAAATAATTTTATCCTGAAAAAAAAAAGTAAATTCGTTGGAAAAATTATAACGATAATACGATTAACTGCGAAAAATAAAAAAAATTCAATAAAATGTATTAGTAAAAAAAAACACACGCTGATTATTCGGTTGTTTCATTGATCCTGTTTTTTTTATAATGAAAATATTAAAAAAGACGAATTTATTTGATAAAAAAATAAATTTGTTCGAGCACGCGTTACCACGTCTACTCTCTGCAAGAGTACGATCGAAAATAACTTTAGGAAACAATAGTCACCGACCTTTTTCAAGATCGAACTACATATGTGTACAACGTGTTTATCCCTATTTCTATACGCGTGTATACTTTTTCTTCGACATGTAAACAGTCGAGACAGTTACAGTTTGGCTTTTCTATTGTAAGCACGTCGATTGCGAAGATTATCTGGTAAGAATATTATTCTCGTTTTAATATTTTAAAATATTATTTTTTTCAATTAATTATTTATAATTATTAATTAATTATTATTCATTATTATCGTTCCTTCGTCAAATTATGTATATTTTTTTTGTTCTCAACGTTTATCTATTAATTCGTTATTAAATCAAAAAATGAATTTTTCATAAACAGTTGACTTTATTTCATATTTTTAACTAATTGTTTTTTTATTATGTGCGTTTCTTTAACGAAGTATTATTCGAATTCTCATCGTCGTTGACGATTACAGATAGACAAAAATGTGTTGCGGCAAAACGGCTGATTAATTGTCACAACAAGTTTATTAATATTTTAACAAGTCTATAATTACAATTCATTGTTTTTTTTTTTTAATTATTTAGACATTTTGAATCAGATAATAAGTTGAATCTGATCTAAACCAGAGCTGTCCAACTGGCGACATATTTTTTGTTTGACCAGCGAAGTAAATCATGTTTTTAAAATACAAATTTAAATAAACATCAATACCAAATTATAAATTAATAATGAAAATGAAAAAAAGAATACTGAAACGTATTTTTATATAGAAAACTTATAACAATTTAAACTTGCATATGCATTTATTTTGGATGTAACATTAATTGACTTTTGTGATCATCAATCCTTTCTTTAATTTCCCAAAATGTGTAGCAAAAGAAAATAATATCCTACGAATATAATAAGAACAGTTCTACAAAACGTGTTGTTATAGATTATATTATTTTCCCTACTCTTAGAGAAAGTATGACGAATCATAACATAGATAGTTGTTTCTTTTAACTTCCGTTATTCTATCGATCAATAAATATTCGCTAGTTCGTTTGTTCGATTTTTTTAAAATTCGAGTTAAAAATAATAGAAGAAGAAGAAGAAGAAAAAAAAGGTGGTGTTTTGCAAAGGTCGTGGCCGGTCGATTCGAGAAAACGAATTGGCTCGGGTCGATGAAACAAACGATGTTTCTCTCTTCTCTCCTCTCTTTTTTCTCTCTTGTTTAGTATAGTAGCGTGTTGCTGCAGCTACCACACTAACTCGCAAGCCTCGGACACAATCCAAGTGGAGGACATCGAACTCGCGGCTACGTGTTTTGCGAAAAAAAGACGCGTATCACTTAGGAGACGAAAGCCAACGAACGAACGTACGAACCTACGAACGATCGAACGATCGAGTTAGCTTTTTCCTTTCATGGAAACCCCGAGAAACTTCGAGGAGGATTATCATTGAAACAACACCGACTAACATTTTCACGTTTACATAATAGGAAAGTCTCGTGTACCGGCACGCGTGAACGTCTTATTTACGCAACTTGCATAGAAATTTGCTACGATTTTTTTTTTTTTATATTGATCTTTCTCAACTCTAAGAATTCTTTTTAATCCTAATTGTTTTGTCTTAATATTTTATTTTTTTCTCCTCCCTTCCTTTAAAAAAATACAATCATACTAACAAAATTACGCGATAATAAATTTTAAGTCGAATTAATCGTAAATCGTGTGATACAATTAATAATCATCGATCCATATAGATATATCATCATATATACACACACGTATCAATTATTTTACATTCTCGCATACTCGTCACATTTCTACATGTATGATTTGTATTAAATATTTAAGTATCAAATGTTCTATTATAAATCGTTTATTTTTAATTAGATAAAACGTATATTTCATGTTTTAAAAATTGAATATCTGATTATCATCGGTCAAAATGTTTACCTACGGTTAATGATAAAATCAAGAACTGCGTAAGTCGTGGAGGGGAGAGGGATTACTGTATAAAAAGAGAGAGAAAGAGAGAGAGAGAGAGAGAAATTGAAGAGAAAAGGATAGAAAAACGCTTGATCTGATTCGAGTTCGTAGTCGGCAGAGCGTGACGAGTCGAACGTGAACTCGCTTATTCCGTAACCTTAATAACCTTGACCTAGGTTCTCGGTGTCTCGAGGGAGAGAAGAGGGTGAGTGTGGGTGGGTGGGATTGGTGAGAAAGGGTAGAGGAGGATCCATCAATCAGAGAAAAAGACCGGCGGGTACTATACGATATTATATCGATCGATTGCGCAATCCCTGCGACGGAACGACTATTTTTATTTTCATTCCGTGTTACGATACTTATACGATTCGTTACTTTGTCATCGACTTTTTTTATAATATTCTTTTTTTTTTTTTCTCCTATACGTTTGGTATATAATTATCGAATAGAAGAACTTATTACTTTCTCATTTATACATATATATTATATTTCGATTATTTATTTATTTATTACAGATTTATTATAGAGTTTTGTTTTTTTTTAAAGAAAGTTTGTAGGTATAGGCTTTTGTATGTATGTATCTATCGTATATCTTCGAGTAGATCATAGAGAGAGAGAGAGGATTTCGTTGGCCTGGAACTTGGCTGGCTTCGACTTGAGAAAGTAGGTCAAGTTCGTAGGAGTGCATCTTCCTTCGTCGAATACTACTTTCCACGTAAATCGTTGAGCGAGCTTGGATACACCCCGGATTGACAGTACTTTGAGGGCTTGACTTAGAATATTTTCTAGTTAACCCCTTTCGGTAGGTTGCATTTTCTGAACGAGTCTTGAATGTGTACGAGTTTGTGGAGTACTATTCTATCTCTATTTTATTCTCTCTCTCTCTTTCTCTTTTTATCATTCTACTTCTCGTAGTATATTTTACTGATATTTAAAATATAGATTTATATACGACAATACAAGCTAAAAGTTTTGATAAAAGATGGTATGAAAGAAAAAGATATCCGTAAAGGATATCACACAAAATATCGACCGTTGTTATTAAAGTATACAAAGGTTTACATACTACGACTACGACTATGACTACGACTACAAAGATGACGAGAAGGAGTAGGTATATAAACGTAAATGAAGAAGGATAAGAAGAATGTTTTTAGGAAACGTTGAGGGAAATTAATTAGCGAGAAACTCATCTACGCTGACACGTGCGCTTTTCTCCGCAAAATTATTACGTATTTTCTCGTCCGAGGGAGAAAGATTCCTGACCTGGAAAGTGGCTCGACTCGGAAGAACGAGTAAATTAACCGTAAGCTTTCCGATTCCTACGGTCCCAGAGTTGTCAGGCGATCGTTATTCCTTCTTTCACGTACTTACTTACTTATTTACTTATTTATACTTACTTATATACATAGAGATAGATACGTTTCGTGTTACGAGTTAAAAGAAAAGAAAAATAATATATCCCGCAAAGTATTTTAATGTATCATCGTCATTGTCATGATTTTTCGTAACTCGCGTATTGCTCTTTCATTTTTTTTCTTTTTTTCTTTTTTCCCCGATTAAAAGTCTCATGTTATTATTTCTTAATCAAATATTTCCCCGACACCCCTCTCCCTTCTACCCCCCGAAATGTCGAATTTATCGTTCGCAGTTATAAGTTTGAATGCGACGTCACGCACGAGATCGCAATAAATTAAAGTAAACTTTGCGTGAGTGTTTTGTCTTACCCTTCTTCTTCTTCTTCTTCTTCTTCTCTTGTTGTGTTGCGATTACGTTATTTCGCGTTGCGTGTCCATTGTCGTAAATTTATTTCTTTACTACCTCGGGACTTCTCTGCTCCTTCGTATCGATGCCTTTTTTTTCTTTTCGTTATTTCTTATTTTTTTTTTTCCGTTTTATTTCAACATTCGCACGCACGAAGTGTCACGATACATTGTCGTTTTCTTTACCACGTATGTATTAATGTATGTATGTATGCATGGATGTAGCTGTACACCCAATTATTACAGTTCGACGATTCTCTCTCCTCCTCATTTCGAATTGTAAATAATAATATGCTGAATTAAGAGAAATGCGATAGTTAACGAACTGATATATATACGTAATCGGCTTTGTGACTTTGTAAGATTGCATAACAACAGTAAGAATAAAAATAAATTAAATGCTGTCTCCTACTGTTGGTATATATCTCTTCTTCAAAACACAGATGCAATAGTTTCCATTCGAATTCATATATCCATAAACGAACGTTCCATTTCAATTTGGTTCATTATCAATTTACCTACATAATATAACGATCAATCGAATTATACTTATTCGAATGAATTGCGTAACGTTCGATGAGAACGATAAAATCGATGTTAGATGTGTATGGTGTACCGTGCAATTTTTTTCTTCTGGATAAATGTTGTTACCACTGTATACAGGTGTGTATACGTTACCTCATCGATATATTTTGGAGATTATCTACCTTTTTCCTGTTTTATTTTTCGTGTTGAACGTTGTAACGATGCTTAATCTCGTTTCGAATCGTTTCTTCTTTTTTAATCATTCATTTTAATCGATTGACCTTGCATTTTTTTGTTTTCTTTTATTTTTAGGCGTCAAATGGATTAATCAACGCGCAAGCCCAGATCCGATAATTCTCGTGAAAGAAAAATTCTCTAATTCATGAGGACGATCAACAACAACCAACCTTCCCCATTTGACGACGTAACGATGTAAAGAGAAAAATGTAACTCGTCGTTTTGAAGAGAGGAATATTACGCGAGGCGCAAGAAAACAAGAAAAGGAATTAATGCAAGAGAGATAGAGATAGAGAGAGAGAGAGAGAGATACAACAAAATATAAAGAAAAGAAAAAGGTTCGTAAAGACGATCGAAAAAGAAATTTTCGATAGATCGTTTGATTACATTCTCATTTGGGTTGCTTTTTTCAAAATCGATTCGAAATCTTGTTTTCTCGATGTTTATTTTATTTAATTTTTCTTTTTGTTTAGCGAAAAACAAAGTATTCCATCGATCGATACAATTTTTAGAGTAAAAAAAAAAACAAACAAGAGAAAAGCAAGAAAATAAATAATTAAAAGATTTCGTTAAATTTAGCAATATCAATTTTTCCTTTGCAGTGTCGTAGCTGTTTCGTTTTTGGTTTGGAGAAGGAAGGAAGGAAGGAAGGAGGGAGAGAAGGAAGGAGAAGCAAGAAAGTTAAGAAATAGAGAGTAAGAGAAAGAGAGAGAGAGAGAGAGAGAGAGAGAGAGAGAGAGAGAGAGAGAGAGAGAGAGGGTAATATTATTTGGAGAAATTTGAGCCGTCTGGAGTATTCGTCCTTAGATTAAAAGTGTTGGAAGCTCGTTCGATATTCGAGCATATTATTGAAAGATTTGCTTTAGAGAGCAAAAGAGAAAGAATATAAAAGAAAAATTAAAATAATAATAATAATAATAACAATAATAATAATAAGATAATAAAGCAAGATGTATAGCGATCCGAATATTTGTGGTATTGGAGGAGCGTCGACGAAGGGAGACGAGGTAGAACTTGTGAGCAGGTTTTTGGCACCACTTTGCGCGAGGGATGAAACTGCGAGAAACATTGCATTAGCGGCTGCAAGGAGTACCGTCGAGGGATGGTTAGGTGGTGTTGGCAGTCCAAATCAATGGGAGGAAGCTACCGGTGAAATGAAGGACAACAATCACGCATCCGGAAAGTTCAAGGGTCAGGATGGAAGGTTAGTTAAATATTTTAGAAAGAATTTAATTATAATATTTTGAAAGAATTTATAAATGAATAGGTATCTCTCGTAATTGTGAAATTAGATTGCGGTATATGTTTACGATTATATTGTATCTCGTTTTAACCGGTCGATCGATGTATCTATAAATGTAATTTCTTTAGAGCGGATTAGATATCGTAATAATGAAAGAGTACACGTATTCTCTGTGTCGAAAAGGTACGACATGAGCATCGAGCGTTCACCCTCGAAATCCAGTCCGAAGAACGTAAAGGAACAAGCGTCATCTCCGGATACATTTAGAAGCGACTGCTTTTTTCCGCAAAGTGTTACGGAAAATCTTGTTTTTCCGGAAGACGGTGGGACCGAAATTACCGAAAGATATCCCTCGGGTTCGTTCGATTGCGTAGACGGTGGTCGTTTGGGTTCGAACGAAAGTTCGAGCTTTGGCACGCCGATCGAGAGAAGGAAATACATGGGTGGTGGTGGTGCTGTTGTTGTTGGTGGTGGTGGTGGTGGTGGTGATTCCGCGGACGGGAACAGATCGGGTCGTTCCACTTCCTCGGACGAGGGGAAAGGATTCAGGATCGAACAATTGGCTGGCAAGTGTCGCAGGTTCAAGGACACCGGCACCGGTGAGACCCGTTTTGCTTCTAGCTGCGACAACGAGAGAAAGTATTTGATATCATCGTCCAACGAGAGGTTGAACGAGTTCAATCAAGAAGATAGGATACCGAGAACTAAGAATTCTATCAAGGTTAAAGGGGCTAAGCAAAGACAACCGGAGGAAGATGATTTGGATTTAGATACTAGGATCTATGGGAAGAGTCCAAAATTTGACGAGAATCTCGGCAATGCATTTTTCGATCGTAGGAACGTTAATTTCCGTTCGAAGAGTAGCGATCTTCTCGAGCGTAATAGGTATCGTACGGAGGATACCGAAATAATTGGGGGGAGATCCCGCGACAGGGTTGTTTTCAATACTCTCGATGGATTTGATAACGATAACGCTAACGAAATTTATCGGGATAACGAAATTCTCGTTGAGGATGCTAATTTCGAAAATTCGGAAGACGATCTCGACGATGGCAATCGTCCAAATTGGCGAAGATACGAACAACAACAACAACACCAACAACAACAGGAACAGGATTGCCTTAGGAAGAACGAGGAGAGAAAATTTAGTGCTGGTCAGATAAAAAGACCTCTATCGCAAGACGAAGACGTATCGTCGAAGAGCGGCAGAGCCCTAGACAGTCCCGAAGTTACTCCTGGCGATGTCGGTAGGATGCTTAATCTTGGAAATGCTTTAGATGGCCCGAGGCAAACTCAAGCGAACAAATATCTCAGCCTGGTGACGCTTCATCTACCGGTGATACTAAGGCTCAGCGTTAATTGTCCTTTTCAGAACGTCAGGATAAAATGTGCTGAAATACTGGAAATGGTCAAGGTAAGTTTTTGTTATCCAATGTATCATCATCTACCAATCTCTCTCTCTATCTTTATCTTTCTCTCTCTTTCTCTATCCTACTTTTTAATGAATCGATCGATATTTATATTCTAATTCAACGAACAAATATTCTTCCCAATGCCCAACGAATATTCTCGTGTTTGAAACGGGAAAGCGTGAAAAACGGGACATAGCGGGACGTTATATAAATGGGAGCAGCTTTCCGTAGTTATTTGGGAACACTCTCTCTCGAACTCTGTTCCAAAAATATCTTCCTATTTTGTCGCCAAAACGGCCTACCGGTACAAACCGCGTTCGTCGACGTTTTATTAGCATCGTCAATTGCACTTGAAAAATAAGAACGGAAACGTGAGTCGATAAAAACTTGCACGTACAATTACATATATATATGTGTGTGTGTGTGTGTGTGAATGTATGTAGTATGAAAGAAGAAAAGCTTCGCATAAAAACTCGTAACGGGCGGCTCGAACCCCACGACCCTGAGAGAATAAGGAGTTCTCTTGTTCTTTACCGATTTCAAGCTAGTCTAAATTTTCAAGAAGTCTGTCTATTTGATCTAAAGATTTTTCACGATATATATATATAACTTTCATCTCTGAATTTTTCAACGTCGATTGATCGTTATTTTTTCTTTTTTTTTTTTGTTTACAGGATAGAGGATTACCAGTACCAGAACCGGCCTTCGATGGACCCAGTGCCTTCGTTCCCACTTCCGAGGTAAGTCATTTGCATAATACGCTAATGTAATTATTTTTTTATTTTTTTTTTATTTGTATAACAAAATCTTTTTAATCTTTTTTTTTATTTAAACCAGATTTGCGAGACATTACGATTTAATAACCGAATCGTATAATTTCATACGAGATAAACGTTGAATTATGTAATTTTTTATTAATTTTATTTTTTCTATTAGAAAAGAACAAGAAATACAAAATAAAAGCAATGAAAATGACGTTCGTTAGAAACAAATATAATACAAATTGTGTTAATCCTTGAATGGCACCGATAATCGTTACTCTCTCATGTATTTATTAATAGTTGTACGTGAAAAGGAACCAATGAATGATTGGTTACCGCGCGAACGAGGGAGTGCATAGCATCGTATTTATTTGTCCCCTGGTAACCTTCAATTTAGTTTAATTAAGAACAATTAAGGACTCTCTTGTCCGCGCGAGCTCTCATAACACTTTGAAGTTGCTAATTGTAGGAACCTTTCCGATTGTAACTACGAATCATCTGATTGCATAGTATTTCACTTTTCTTTTTCTTTTACACATTTTCTTTCACACAAATCTTTAGAGAAAATTTTATTACTTGTAATATTATTATATTATATATAATTATATACGATCATTGAATATTATCTGTAAATAAGATAAAAAAAAGCCGATGCATTTCTTTTCAAATAATTAATTTTCCCTTTTTTGTTTGCTTTTCATCAAATCAGTTTTCTCTAATGTCGGTTTAAAATCTCAAAGATTTTTGTTATTACTTTAATAAAAAATTCATTTTTGTGAATATTTGCATATATAAAATGTTTGAATGAGTAGAGAAAAATGTAAACGTTAGTTAGATATATTTTAATTATTTTACAATTAGAGATATCACGGGCGGGGTGTATTATTATTTACTCGGTAGAAAAAAGAGGAAACAAAAAAAATATAAATGCATCCTTGAATTTGCGTTCTAGAGTGCGCCATGTTCCCGCCCATGATTCGAACCATGAACTACGTCGGTAATTCAGTTTTTTCGATTATATAGAGTGAGAAAGTCGTCGTCGTCGTCGTATCTTCAACGACGTCTACTCGTGTACCACATGCGACGATGAAATGTTAGTTTGTAGATTGTACAGATGGCGTGTCGTTCAGTTGCAATCGATTTTATTTAAAAAATTTTTAAATTGTTATTTATAATTATTTGTTTTTCTTTTTTTTTTAATTATCATTACGAATCCTCGATGAGAATAAAAAAGAAAAAGAGACGTATTTTAGGTACACGTTAAAAAATACGAGATAAGAAGAAACATGACAAATAATTGAAATGCAAATTGTTGCAGCGCATTTTATTACTCGAAAGATTTTTTTTTTTTTTTTTTATTAAATTTACTTAACACACATTATGTATGTCGTAAATAAATTACCATAGTCTTTCGTTATTCAATACTTTATTTATGAGATAAACAACGGTGAACAACGTATCGTTCAGATTGGTTTGTACATGCTACCGTTCGTTTTACATAGATTAGTCACTCTTGCGTGCCACGAGTTACAGGAAAAACAGGTTCTTTTAAACGTTTTTTTTTTTATTATTATTATTGTTATTATTATTATTATTTCAAAAAGGTTGGATTATTACTCGTTATCGTAAAAATTGCATACACCGCATGGTCGCATTTAATTGCACTGTTTTTAAAAGAAATTACAATGACTTTCCGCATTTATTTTTGACAAAAAGAAAGAAAGAAAAAAGAAAGAAAGCAGGAAGGAAAATGATAACGTAAAAATTAAAAAAAAAATAACATAAAGGAGATTCGATAGATTTAAATTTAATTTACGTATGAATTTATATCACTATAGATATTCTTTTGAATCTCGCAAATCTGGTTTGAAGATTCGATCTTCGTATTTTTCAACGAGTTTTTAAATAAGTATCGAAAAACTATAATATTTATTGACTGATTATATTATATATTATTCGTATACCGTATTATATATTACTACGTATACCGATTGCGAAAAAGAAGAAGAGAAAATGTATTAAATTTCGTCAACCCATCAAAGTTTTTTTTTGTGTTTTCGTTTTATTTTATTTTTTTTTTTTTTTTTTAAAGAAACTGCTTCGTTATCGGATATATATATATTTTTTTTTTATATCCTCGAGTTGTGGTGATCACTAAACTGTGTCGATTTAATTGCATATGTACGTCGACGTGAAAGAATATCTTCGAGATGGTTAAACAAAAAAAAAAGGTAAGTAAATATAATATATATACATATATTATTTATATTAAATTACACACATATATGTCTGTAAATACCTCATATCGTGACGTTTAATTAAATCTATTATTTTTCTTCCACAAAAAAAAAGAAAAGTAAAAAAAAGCATACAACAATTATCTTTTAAAAAAAACAACCATTACAGTCGACGTAAAAGTATGTTCGATGTATTTTCCTAGACAAAACATTCCACAAATTCCAAAGTATTGTGTCTTTTATCTAATCCAAAGTTTTTAAGATCGAGATAAGAGATTAGTTAAAGGGTAAATCTTGTATGAGGGGGGTGGGCAGGAGGGGGAGGGACTTGGAAGAGAGGTATGGGTTCGTATTTTACAAATCGATCGAAATTTTCAGTATGTCGTATAAAACTGATGGTGTTTCTCGTCTAGCTTGGACGATCGAAGTTCGCAAGGTTTCGAAGAGAAATGGTGTATAAGCTGTGGGGAAGAGGAAGAGCTGGAGGAGGAGAAATGCAAGCGGGGGGTCGGAAGGGAAGAGGGAGTGTATGGCGGAGAGGAAAGGGGGACGTAAGTGAGAAACGACGGAATCATAGGGCAACTTAGGGGTACAGAGAGAGAGAGAGAGAGGGTTAAGAGAAGATTCTAGGGAGGGAGTTAAGGGTGGGGTGGTGGGGTGGGGGAGGAGGAGGAAGAGAAGTTAAAGGGAATCGTGCTTGGGTCAATGCAAGTTACAGCTAGCTCCACCAGCCGCAAGTGGCTTTAAGTGGCTCGTATACAAGCTCCATTAAAGGTCTAATTGAATCTCTTTCTATCCCCCCATGCTTCTTCTACTTCTACACCCTACCCCTCGATCCCCCTCCCCCTATTCCCCTTCCCTTTAGCTCCTCCTCATCCTTTTCTTTTCGTTCCTCTTAACAACCCCCCCCCCCCCTGGATCCTTTTTTTCCTTTATTTTCTTTCCTTTCTCTCTAGGAAGACTCTTTTGATATTATCCGAAATGTTTAGAAAAGTATCACGAAAAAAAAAGTTAATTTGTTGTCAATGGATGATACGATTAATCATCCAAATCTTTGTTCAATATGCGATCCGTTATTTATACATTTATTTTCAATTGTCTATTTTAGATCACGTTAATTGTGTTTTTTAATGTAAAGATTTTTCATCTATTCAACGATCACGATCTCTTATTATTCTACGTTGAATTTCATGCACGCGAGACGAGTAGTAGACGAGATGTCAGAGATTAGATGGAAAAGGTTAAATAAAGAGAGAGAGAAAGAGAGAGAGAGAGAGAGAGAGAATCAGTGAATAGTTGAAATTTGTCATGTAAATCCTCTTTTAAATTTATTTTAAGAGCACGATTCTGGTATAGTTTAATATCGTTAAATGTGTACGTGTATACGGGTGGTGGGTGTGTTTATGCGAGTGTTGCATGCACGACGTATACGTTTAAATAAAAGGGGGATTTCTTTTATCAATTTAATCGTATAATTTAATACAATTATTATTATTTCTCTCGTCTTATATTTGATAAAATACTTTTCTTTATTTATTCATCGTTTTCTCGTATAATTTCAAGCATTTAATAATCCGTTATATAATATAATTTTATAACTTAATCGCGGATGTTTTTATGATTCCATCCTATTATCATAGAATACATTTTATGTTTTAGATTTGAGAGAGAGATAGAGAGAGAAATGAACGGAACTTCGGTCGCGATGAACTTCGCGACCGAGTTTACATACGTGTGTTCTCGACAGTTACAACGGCTGCATACTCATGTATGCAATGATTTCGCGATAGTTTAAATAAAACCGGTATACGAGCCAGGAAAATATTATTTTCTTCCTTATTTTGGTTTTTTTCTTTCGCAAATAATTATCGGGTGTAAGGAACGTAATACCGATAATATTATAGGTTGTTGTTTTAAAAGTTTCTTAATTCCTTTTACACGCACTATATTTTGATTATTTAATATTCGTTTGTTAAGTTAAATGCGTTCTGTATTATTGTTCTTTGTATCGTTCATAAAGAAAATATATCAAATAAAACGTATCGTGCGTGTAAAAATTATTGAAAAAAAAAAATTAAAAAAATATAGTAAGAATCTTTTGGAACGATCCAATATAATAGAAATATAGAATGGTTGGATCATTTGGTTTGGATGAGAGGGCGAGTGAAAAATAGAAAAATAATCGGAAGAAAATTGAGTTGGATTTTTATCGTAGTTATGAAACACTTAAGTACACTTTATCTTAGAACTACGAAATTTCCAGGTCATTGACTTAACGTAGGAACGCATTATTGATAATCTTGCGCTCGACTTTGTACGATTATTTCTTTTTTTCCTTCTTTTCTTCTTCTTCTTTTCTCGTTGCACTTTACTTTCACTCTTGTTTGATTTTAAATTATTGGACTTTGTTCAATGCGACATTTATTGTTAGTGAGAAAATACTTGCGAAGATATTTATACGACATTATTTAAGAGATCAAATGTGCAATTCAAATGAACGTGTATTTGAACTATAATACTTTTTTTCTTTTTGGCTACATCAAAAGTCGTTTATAATTTACGTAAATGATATGCAAACAATTAAAGCATGACCGATTTTCCATACGGTTTGTATGGTGATAATTAAAAAAAAAAAATATGAATAAACATTTGAATTGCATATATTTTAATAAGTATATTATGAAAATCGTAAAAAGAAGAAAATAAAAAGGGGAAAAAAAATACGTGAATAAAATAATCTAA